AAGGAATCCTCTCAGGGTAAACAGGGATGGATCCAGGATATCCGAGCCACACAACGGGTGCGTGGGCAGAGGGTGTGAATCCACAGTGAGTTCCGCACCAGCGAGAGAGAGAGATAAAGAAGAACTAGAGACAATAATGCTACTGATCAGCTACCTGCTGATCCACCAGGCCATGACATTCAGAGGGTACATCAAAGAAAAAATGTCAGTCACACAGTCAGTCAAACAGTAATTATTTGTATTTCATCGGGTTCTGACTGCGGTGTCTTCTTCAGATGACCACAGAGTTCAACTACTGCGTGGAAGCTGTCCCATGTTCTGGTTCAGCTTCAATGGCCGCTGCTACAAATATGTGGCCACACACATGAGCTGGGCTGATGCAGAGCTCTACTGTGTGTCACAGCGAGCCAACCTGGTGTCCATCTACAGCCAGGAGGAAGAGGAGTTTGTTAAATCTTTGATTAAGAACTTTGACCATGCTGAGCAATGGACCTGGATTGGACTGAGTGACCTCCACAAAGAAGGCAGATGGATGTGGTCTGATGGTTGTGCAGTGAGTTTCGTCTACTGGCATGCAGGACAACCAGACAATGCAGGAACAAATGAACACTGTGTTCACACTAACTATTCAAACTTAAAGAAGTGGAATGATTACCAGTGTTCTCTCAATTTAGCTTCTGTTTGTGCAACACGGATAAGCTGCCCTTAGAAACTGAAAAATACTTTTAATCTGCACTATTTGGGTTGGAACGATGCAGAACTGTGTTCTGGTTCCTTCAATTAATGAGCAACTCAGTCTGATAGACAGATGAATGTGTATTACTGGGAATGAGTTAGTTTATGGTGTACTGCAGCCTGGTGTTGAGTCCACTGACAGAGACACTTTATAAGTAACAAGAAAATAAAGAGATTTGACGGCTCGCTTATCTGTACATGATGTGCTGCAGAACTATGTTCTTCTGAAGTGGCTTGAAAAACAAACTGTAGAAACATGTGTTATTTTTAGTGATGAACTGTGCTGGGCTGCTCCACTGCAGGCTGTGGTGTTCATGGTCAATGTTAGGATGTACATCAAGGGTAAGAGACATGAATTTATATTTAAAGTGATTAAACTGATTAGTTCAACTCACCAATTTACTTTTTATACCAGCTTTATGGTCTCAAGGAAATTAGTTTGTAAAGCATCTGCTCATATCTTGTTGAATTCAGACCTTCTCTGCAGGTCACCAAATTATACTACCCTAAGTATCTGGACTTTGCTGTAGTTTTATTGTATCATAAAGGTCCTTCATTGGCAAAGTGGAACATTTAGATCACATCTCAAAACGTGAGCTCTTCACTCTTTCTTTGTTATAGAAGGCCAACGTAGAGTCACTAGAAAAACATAGACATGCGCTTTCAACTATCAGCTATCATTGTCAGAAATGTCATTTTAAAAATCTTAAGTAAACTTTTATGGTGGGAGTTAAGATGAGAGCTGTAGAAAGCTGATGAAGCTGATGAAGAAAGCTTTAAGGCTGGACTTCACATTTTAGGATAGAAAGCGACACAAACTCCCAACATGAGTGTCGGATATCTGCAGGACAGCCAAGCTGGCACAGCAGTGGTAATGATCTGCTTTAGTTTAAAAGTCTATGGTTTTGTTTAGTTTGGCTTATTTAAAAAATGTAATAGACACAAGGGCATTTAAACATTTGTACACACTGCAAATAAAGTGGCAAAGTACAAGCAAAAATTAAAGATTAAGCGTATAACTCTTACAGTTACATAGACGGTCTTTCTTTTTTATTGACTCTGAACAGGCCGGCCACAATCACTTCATTTATATGTGTTCACTGCAATAAAAAGTGTGCACAGGGTTTGTTTTGGATTTGTTTACTGAGAATGATCGCACACTTCTATTTCCTCTTCCTGATATAGTAGCCTATTCTGTTTAGCATTTTGCTGATGATGTCATTTTATAATATAATAAAACAATAAATACTCAGTCAAACAAACAGTGAAGTTCTCTGGAAAAGGCCAGAGCTCAACACGTGTCAATAAGTAGTTAAGTGATGTCTTTGAGTTGTGGATAATTTTACCCAA